TCCACACTGTTCTCCCATTCTATCCAGATGTACTACAAAGATCCGAGCGGTTCACAGGGTAGCTGGGCACCATCTAGTTCTTCTGGTCTCATAATCGTATAGGCTGAAGATCACATGGCGTACCAGTCCCCTGGACTAATTGTTTCCATGGGTCTTTGGTTTTCTTCATTCTTCTTTGCTCTGGACAAGGAGAGACCTATCGTTGCACCTAGATGGCCACTTGTTAAAACAACAAAATGCTTGTTAAAATGTTTCTTGTGGGCCAGATATATTTACCTTTTCACATGTGCATTTGCTACTTTTGGGGACTCAGTATTTTTCTCCCTTTTTGACCACACCCTCTTAGGTGCCTTTGACATAACCTGAAACCAAACTCAATGCCATCAAGTCAATTACCATTCATAGTGATCTCCACTGGGTTTCCAAGGTTGTGAATCTTTATGGAAGGAGACTGCCTCATCTTTCTTCTGCAGAGCAGCTGGTGGGTTTAAACCACTGACCTTTTGGTTCGCAGCCAAATACTTTAACCACTGCACCGTCAGCGTTCCTTCCTCTGACATAAAGGGAGATTGAAAACAGAACTCAGGTAATACAGTGAAGTGAAACCAAGACAACCTGAGGATGTTTGCATGCACTTTAGTAATAAGAGAACAGTTAATTATAGTCAAACCACATGCTGGACTATATGAAGAACATGACATCAAGATTGGAAGAAGGCTCATTAACAACCTGCAATACACAGATGATGCAATTTTGGTTACTGAAAGTGAGGATGACTTGAAGCACTTTCTGATGAGGATTGAAGAATACAGTCTGCAGTATGGATTACACCTCAATGTAAAGAAAACAAAAATCCTCACAACTGGACCAATAAGCGGCATCGTGATAAATGAGAAAAGACTGAGGTTGTCAACGACTTCATATTATTTGGTTCTACAATCAACACCAATGGAAGCAGCAGTCAAGACATCAGATGACGTATTGCATTGGGCAGACCGGCTGCAAAAGACCTCTTTCAAGTGCTGAAGAGAAAAGATGTCTCCTTGAGGATTAAGGTGTGCCTAATCTCGGAAGGAAGATGGTGCAATCTACTTCCGTAGTGATACTGCCTCGGAAACCCAAGGAGGGGTCACTGTGAGATGGGTCCGACTTGACGGCACATGACAACAACAACAACAACCCAAGCCATGATATTTTCATTCGCCTCATATGCACGTGAGAGCTAGACAATGAATAAGGAAGACCGAAGAAGAGTTGATGCTTTTGAGTTGTGGTGCTGGCAAAGAATGCTGAAAGTGCCATGGACGGAAGTCAGTGCACCTCGTCAAGAAGAAAGAAGAAAACCAAAATTAATGGAAACAATCAGTCCTAGCAACTGGTACACCATCCGATCTGCAACCTATACAACTATGAGACCAGAAGAACTAGATGGTGCCCAGCTACCACTGCCATCCACTTGGAAGGGATGTAGGAGATCCTGCATAAAGAGGGAGAACAATGTGGTACAAAACTCAAAATCATTTGGAGGCAAAAAAAAAAGAAGGTGGGGACCAGGTTTGCTGGTCCAGTGGAGCCTGGTGTAACCACTGAGACTATGGCCCCTAGCTGCCCTTCAGGTATGGAATTGAACCCACAACTGTGGTTTCCAGCCAAACAAAGTACAGGCAAGTGAGTTAAACATTTACCTCAAGTAGACACACACCCTGGAGAGAACAATCATGGGAGAAGGAAGGGCTGCTTATGCACAGGGAGATAGCTCAGGGTGCAGAAGAGTATGAAGGGATGGACACTGGGAGGAGGTAACTATGGGGAGGAAGTGGGAGGGGAGCTGCTGCATTGTAAATTTTGGTCAATGACATGAGACAAAGTATATGTGAACTGCTGTGTGAAAAGTGAATTTGCTCTGTAAATCTTCACCCAAGTCCTAATAAAAAAAAAAAAAAAAAAGCAGTGTTTGCAGTAGTTAACCCCACAACCAACTCAGGGCAGTGCTGGTGGCACCCTTCCCCAAAACTGCTGGGACCCCAGAGCCCGGTGGGTGTGTCCCAGTGAGCCCTGCACACTTGGCAGCCAAACTCCAGAATCTGTTCTGTCACCAGGTACCTGTGTGACCTTGTGCAGGCTCCCTCCGCCCCAGCCTTGGCACCCTTGTCTGCAGAATGGGTCTGTGGTTGTGAGAAGGGAAGCCCTTAACACTTAATAGTGTGGAACATGGTTGCTCTGCTGTGATCCCCACCCTTCTCATAAAGATGTACTTGGTCCTGACGTACCTCCACACCTGCACCCTGAAGGACGCAGCATCTTGATGAACTTGCTGAAGGAACGTCACAAAAATCACGTGGAAAGGAGGACCAAGAGCAGGGAGCAGGCGTGTGAAGGCGACTCTTGAATGCTCCAGAAGAGCCTGAAAAAGGAATGATCTTTTCATTGGATGCTTTTTTGAGAGAAAACCTAAAGATGCATGGTTGATAGTCGAAAGAATCTTATTTGGCCTCGGTGATCTTGGACTTGAAAGCATGACCCCTTTGTACTTGAAGAAATGGGGTGCCCAGGATTCTGGGTATTTGTTGCATGGAATCGTTAGTAGTAGTAATCTCTACCCTGTGCCAACACAGATGACTGCAAACATGTTCCCTTTGTCTACAGCCAGCTGACACTGAGTAACTATCTCCCTCAAAAAAGTAAGTTATTAAAAAAAAATGTCCAAATTCCAGCCCTCACTGAACTTACTGACAATCCTGTTTTTAGTTTGTGGAGATCAAGTCCAGTTGCTTTTTAACTCATCAGTAGGAGGCCCCTAACCAAAAAACAAACCCACTGTCATTGAGTTGATTTAGGCTGATAGTGACCCTAGAGGACAGAGTAGAACTGTCCCATAGGATTTTTTTCCAAGGCTATCAATCCTTACGGAACCAAAGCCCAAATCATACCCACTGCCATAGAGTCAGTTTGGACTCACATTGCCCCTAGAGTACAGAGTACAACTGCCCATAGGGTTTCCTAAGCTGTCAGTCTTTAAGGAAGCCAACTGCCACATCTTTCTCCCATGGAGTGGCTCATGGGTTCATACTGCTGACTTTTCGATAGCAGCCAACTGTCTTAACCACCGCACCACCAGAGCTCCTTAGGATTCCCATACGTAGACTTTTTGTTGTTATTGTTGTGGTTATGAGTTAGTCCTGACTGGTGGCGACCTTGTGGCCCCTGGAGCCAAGGCTGCCTGGTCCTGTGTCATCCTCATGATCAGTCAGTGTTCCACTGTCATCCTTTTGTTTGCATTGGCCGATTTGCCAAAGGAGATTGCCAATCCTTTCTTCCTAGTCTCTGTTCCGTTGAAACCTGCTCAGCATCCTGGCGTCCTGTGCATGAGTTGCCCCAGCCGGGAATTGAACCCAGGCCTCCCACATGGGAGCTGAGAATTGTACTTGGTGCCAACTCATGCCAACTCTGTGTAGAACAGAACGAAACACTGCCCGGTCCCGCGCCAGCCTCACGGTTGTTACCATGCTTGATCCAGTGTTGCCGCCCCTGTGTCGATCCATCTCATCAAGGGGCTTTGTCCTTTTCACTGCCTTTCTCCTTTACCAAGCATGATGTCCTCTAGGGACTGGTCCCTCCTGATAACATGATCAAAGTACAAGGGATGACGCATCATCCTCACTTCCACGGAGCTGCACTTCTTCCAAGACAGATTTGTTCCTTCTCCTCGCAGTCCATGTCATGCAGTATTCTTTGCCAACACATTAATGCAAAGGCATCACTTCAGTAGTCTTTTAGTCCCTGTAATTAATCTGTGAGAACTAAAGAAAGAACTTGCCTTTGGGGATCCATCCTGCTGGCATGCTTTCTGGATCACCCTGTGGGCAGCCCACCTCAGTGAAGCTGATCTATCTCCCCATCGGGCTGTGGGAAGGGAACTTTCACAGCAGCCGGCCATTCCGGACCAGTCCTTCCTGTGTCTCACATCAAAGTGCTTTCCCTGGCCACGCCTGAGCAGGTGTTGTGTCTGTCCGCAAGCGGGAAGCACATTATAGAACCATGGGGTCAACTTTCAAAGCGAAGAGAAATGTTTGTGGAATGAAGGCTCGAGATGGGTAGAACCTGATCTCCCTTCTCCTCAGTTGGGGGGAACTATGAAGGCAGCGCCTGTCGCCTGTCCGGCACACTGGCTATTTTAAGGGATTCTCCTGTGCACTTATCTTTCGTCCTTTTAGCTTATCTACAAATTATCTCACTGAGTTCCTGCGGGGAGTCCTGCCCCACCATGCCCAAGGCCTGCAGAGACCAACCAGGAAATGCCCTAATAAGGGGTGGCTGAGGACACCTCTGCGCCCACCCCACTTGGGCTGAGGAGGGCGGGTGGGGTGCAGGAAGGAAGGGGAAGCTTTTGAGTAGGCCCCACCGACAGGCTTTTGCGTCCAAAGACCTGGGCTCCTGCTCCCCTTGCTCCTTCCAGCGGTGAGACCTGGGGCTAGTGACTGACACGCTCCCAGCTCTAAAATGGAGCTAATTTCTGCTCTCCCAGCATCATGGGGAGGTAGAGCGCCCCGCACACTGGATAAGCCTCCCAGGGCCAAAAGAGGAAAAATGACACAAAATCCCCATTGTCGAACCCAGTCCCCACGCACCGCCCGGGCCGTGGGCGGACAGTCGCGCGCACGTGATCGCCCCTCCCGCGCCGGTGTCGGGGCGTGGCCTCGTATGGCTGCGCAGCGGCGATTGGTTGGCAGGCGGGACCGGCGGCGCGCGCGCGGAAGGAGCGGGCCCGTAGGCGTGGCCTGGCGGGCCGGCGCCGGCT